CCAGAAATTTCCTTGGGGTACCGATGGTCAATCCTCAGCTCCTCCCAGGCCAATCTGGTCCTTTCCTACTGCCCACCTTGGCCAGGGTCCTGTGAGCCTGCAAATCCTGTAACACGGAAGGTAGACGGAAAGACAGAAGACTTTCCTCTCCCAGGCTGGCCCTGAGGCTTAAATAACAGAAGAGCTGCAAGCACTCAGCCCTCTTGCCACCCTTCCACTACACAATGGCACCAGCAACAGCCCAGTTTTCCAAAAGGCCAGAGAGGTGAAGACACCCAGCAGAGGTCACACAGCTGTGTCAACTTGTCTTTGGGAGCCCAGTTCCAACTGCCAGGCTTGCTGGGTCCCACCCAGCATTAAGTCCTGTGGGGTGAGCCAACTTTGGAACAATCCCAGGTGACACATGGACACCATGGAGTCCCCTGAGGATACCCAGTAAAAGGTGCCATTCTGCGGCCCCCTACAGATCAACGAGAGCTCAAATGCTGAGGGTAGGCTTGTTGTTTTAACACACTGAATTAACTGGTTATTTTTGCCGTCTGGCGGCTCAACCCCCATTGTGTAAAAGCCGCCTCATTTCCAAGACAATCAACGTGTGATTTTCCCCACTGCCAAACTGGCCAGATCCCCGTGGCAAGAGACTTCCCTGGCAAGAGACTTCCCGGAGCCCAGAGCAGGGGCTGTGTCTGTCTGGACAACTGAATTCCCCGTGCTAGGGCTGGAATTCAGGGCAAAGTTTGTTGATTGAACAAAACAGGGAAGGCTGTAAGGACGCAGAGACACCTGGGGCCATCCAAGGCCAGCCCTGGCGGGCTCAGGGTCCCCAGCTGCTCCTCCAAGTTACCTAGGCCAAACTACAGCTAGACCTGGTGAAATACCTGGGGGGGGGGGGGGGTAGGAGGGGGGCGGCGAAGCAGACACTAGTCTGGCTGACAGTGGCTGAAAGACCAGCTAAATCGCCTGTGGAAGTCGCATACTGGAAGCAGCGTCCCCTGGGGTGGGCGCTCTCAGGACCCCCCCCCCCCCCCCCCCCCCCAGTCATCACCCTGAGCTGCAGGGCAGGGGAAAAGCCCTCAGCCCCCAGGGACAGCTCAGGGCCAGAACAAGCTCTCCCAGAGCACTGCAGGGTCAAGCCGCTCCACCCCCAATTCTCATTTTTCCTGCTCTAGCCAATCGATTAAAAACCAAGTAACAATAACTTGTAAGTTTTTCCCCTCTCTGAATATAACAAGAGTCTCAGCTCATTAATAAAACTCCAGGCATGACTGGAGCTCTGTAGGTGGGTATTTAAACGTGGTGGTGAGGGGTGACAGGGTGGGGGATGGGGTGAGGAGTGGGGGGGAAGGGGGATGAGGTGGGAGGTGGAAGTTGAGGGGTGGGGTGAGGGGCGGGGATGGGGGTGAGGAGTGAGGCATGAGGGATGTGGGGAGTGGGGTGAGGGGTGGGGGTGAAGGGTGAGGGGTGAGGGGTGAGGTGGGATGGGGGTGAGAGGTGGAGGTGTGGGATGGGGATGAGGGTGAGGGGTGGGAGTGGGGTGAAGGGTGAGGGGTGGGGGTAGGGGATGAGGGGTGGGGGATGGGGAGTGGGGGTGAGGAGTGGGGATAGGGGGTGAGGGGTGGGGGTGGAGATGGAGGAGTGAGTGTGAGGGTGGGGGATGGGGAGTGGGGGTGAGGGGTGGGGGTAGGGGGTGAGGGGTGGGGGTGGAGATGGAGGAGTGGGGGTGAGGGTGGGGGATGGGGAGTGGGGGTGAGGGTGGGGGTAAGGGGTGAAGGGTGGGGGGGGGTAGGGGGTGAAGGGTGAGGGGTGGAGGTGGGAGTTGAGGGTGAGGAGTGAGGGGTGAGGGTAGAGGTGTGGGATGAAAGGTGTGGGTGTGGGGTGGGGGGTGAGGGTAGGGGTGTAGGGTGAGAGGTGAGGGGTGAGGGGTGTAGGGTGTGGAGTGTGGGTGTGAATGAGGATGTGGGGGTGAGGGGTGAAGGGTGAGCTGTGTGGGGTGTGGGGTGAAGGTAGAGGGGTGGGTGTAGGGGTGTGGGGTGAGGGGTAGGGGCATGAATGGGGATGTGGGGGTGAGGGGTGAAGGGTGAGGGGTGGGGGTGAGGGGTGAGGGGTGGGGGGTGAATGGTGAGGGGTGAGGGTAGGAGTTGGGGATGAAGGGTGAGGGTGAAGGGTGAGGGGTGAAGGGTGAGGGGTGGGGTAGGGATGTAGGGTGTGGGGTGAGGGGTGGGGGCATGAATGGGGATGTGGGGTGAGGGGTGAAGGGTGAAGGTGAGGGTGAGGGGTGAAGGTAGGGGTTGGGGATGAAGGGTGAGGGTGAAGGGTGAGGGTGAGGGGTGGGGGTGAGGGGTGGGGGTGAAGGGTAGGGGTGAGGGTGAAGGGTGAAGGGTGAGGGGTGAGGGGTGAAGGTGAGGGTGAGGGTGAGGGGTGAAGGGTAGGGGTGAGGGTGAAGGGTGAGGGGTGAGGGGTGAAGGTGAGGGTGAGGGTGAAGGGTGAGGGGTGAAGGGTGAGGGGTAGGGTAGGGATGTAGGGTGTGGGGTGAGGGGGGTGGGGGCATGAATGGGGATGTGGGGTGAGGGGTGAAGGGTGAGGGGTGAGGGTGAGGGGTGGGGGTGAAGGGTGAGGGGTGGGGGTGAAGGGTGAAGGGTGAGGGTGAGGGGTGAGGGGTGGGGGGTGAGGGGTGGGGACATGAATGGGGATGTGGGGTGAAGGGTGAGGGGTGAGGGGTGGGGGTGAAGGGTGAGGGGTGGGGGTGAAGGGTGAAGGGTGAGGGTGAGGGGTGGGGGTGAGGGGTGGGGGTGAAGGGTGAGGGGTGGGGGTGAAGGGTGAAGGGTGAGGGTGAGGGGTGGGGGTGAGGGGTGGGGGTGAAGGGTGAGGGGTGGGGGTGAAGGGTGAGGGGTGAGGGTGAGGGGTGAGGGTGAGGGGTGGGGGTGAAGGGTGAGGGGTGGGGGTGAAGGGTGAGGGTGAGGGGTGGGGGTGAGGGGTGGGGGTGAAGGGTGAGGGGTGGGGGTGAAGGGTGAGGGGTGAAGGGTGAGGGGTAGGGTAGGGATGTAGGGTGTGGGGTGAGGGGTGGGGGCATGAATGGGGATGTGGGGTGAGGGGTGAAGGGTGAGGGGTGAGGGTGAGGGGTGGGGGTGAAGGGTGAGGGGTGGGGGTGAAGGGTGAAGGGTGAGGGTGAGGGGTGAGGGGTGGGGGGTGAGGGGTGGGGACATGAATGGGGATGTGGGGTGAAGGGTGAAGGGTGAGGGGTGAGGGGTGGGGGTGAAGGGTGAGGGGTGGGGGTGAAGGGTGAAGGGTGAGGGTGAGGGGTGGGGGTGAGGGGTGGGGGTGAAGGGTGAGGGGTGGGGGTGAAGGGTGAAGGGTGAGGGTGAGGGGTGAGGGTGAGGGGTGGGGGTGAGGGGTGGGGGTGAAGGGTGAAGGGTGAGGGTGAGGGGTGAGGGTGAGGGGTGGGGGTGAGGGGTGGGGGTGAAGGGTGAAGGGTGAGGGTGAGGGGTGGGGGTGGGGGTGAGGGGTGGGGGTGAGGGGTGGGGGTGAAGGGTGAAGGGTGAGGGTGAGGGGTGAGGGGTGGGGGGTGAGGGGTGGGGACATGAATGGGGATGTGGGGTGAAGGGTGAAGGGTGAGGGGTGAGGGGTGGGGGTGAAGGGTGAGGGGTGGGGGTGAAGGGTGAAGGGTGAGGGTGAGGGGTGGGGGTGAGGGGTGGGGGTGAAGGGTGAGGGGTGGGGGTGAAGGGTGAAGGGTGAGGGTGAGGGGTGAGGGTGAGGGGTGGGGGTGAGGGGTGGGGGTGAAGGGTGAAGGGTGAGGGTGAGGGGTGAGGGTGAGGGGTGGGGGTGAGGGGTGGGGGTGAAGGGTGAAGGGTGAGGGTGAGGGGTGGGGGTGGGGGTGAGGGGTGGGGGTGAGGGGTGGGGGTGAAGGGTGAAGGGTGAGGGTGAGGGGTGAGGGTGAGGGGTGAGGGGTGGGGTGCCGCGGGACGGGGTGGAGCTCAGGCTTCCCCGTCTGGCCGGCCGCCCCGTCTGGAGAACGGGGACGCGCGGCTGAGGGTGCTTTCGGAGACGTTCGGGAAGCACCGCACCGGGCGTCGGCGGAGGGCGTGTGCGGGCGTGTGCGGGCGTGTGCGGGGCTGCGCCCTGGCGGAACACCCTTCCGAGCCCGGTCCTCGCGTCGCTCTCCCGGCCCACACCGGGTGCTCGGAGCCCGCCGGCCCCGCCCAGGCGCTCGGGCCCCGGACTCGGGTCCCGCGACGGGGCCCCGGAGGTGTCTCTCGGCTCCCCCGGGCGCGTCTCCGCGAGTTCCAGGCTGTCCAGAGCGGCTGCCCCGAGCCCGGCTCGGCCGCGGGTGACGGCCCGCGCGCTCCTCCCCCTGCCCCGGCTCCCGGGCGCGCAGCCCCGGGGAGACGCGGCCCCGCGCCCGAGCTGGGGTGCGGGGAGGGCCGCCGGCAGCCCCCGCCGCCGAGCCGGCCCCGCGCCGCCCTGGCCCTTTAAGAGCCCGCCCCGCGGGCCGCCGCCCCGCCCCGGGCCGGCGGGATTGGCGCGGCGCGCGCCCCCTCCGCGGCCCCCGCGCGGTGGGAACCGGCGGCCCCGTCTGGCGCTGACGTCAGACCGTCTGCCGGCCTCCGACCGCGGCGCGGCCCGAAACCCGATCCCCTTGGACTTGAATGAGGAGGCGGCGGCGGCGGCGGCGGCGGCGGCGCTCGGCGGGGGAAGCCAGCGGCGGAGGCTCAGCCCCGGCGGCCGCGCGCGCCCCGGCGGCCGGCCCACTCTCCCGACGCCGCCCGCGGGCACCGCCGACGCCCCCGGGGCAGCGGAGCGGCGGCGGCCGGGCGGGCGCGGAGGGGCGCGGGCCCGCGCGCTGAGCCCCCGCGGCGCCCCGGGAGCGCGGCGGCGCCCCGAGCCGGGCGGGCCGGGCCGGGCGAGCCGGGGCCGCGCGCCTCCTGCATGCGGGGCCCGAGCGCCGGGCGCCGGCCGGAGCCCCCCCCGGCCGCCCCCGCGCGCCCCGCGCCGCCGCGCCGTCCATGCACCGCTTGATGGGGGCCAACGGCACCGCCGCCGCCGCCGGGCAGCCCAATGTCTCCTGCACGTGTAACTGCAAGCGCTCTTTGTTCCAGAGCATGGAGATCAGTAAGTGACCCCGCGGCCCGCCGCGGCCCCCGGCCCCGCGCCGCGCGGACCCGCGGCCCGCCCCCCCCCCCCCGGCCCGGCGCCCCGCGCCCCGGCTGCGCCCGCCGCGCCCCGGGCGCGCCCTGTCGGCTCGCGGCCGCTGGCGGCCGGCCCGGCTTTGTCCCGAGGCGCCGCGAGCCCGGCCGGGTCCCCGCGGCCCGCGCCCCGCCCGTCCACCCGTACTCGGACCCGGGGCCCGCGGCGGCGCGGCGCGGCGGGGAGCGGCAGCCGCCGAGCCCGGGAAGTTTGCGTTTTATTTCCCCACGGAGCTGTCGGGCCGGCGCTTCCTTAACTTTGGGGCGGGGGGGGGGGGCACCGTCGGGCCGGCCGCGCGTCGGGGCCGCGCGCACGTCGGGCGGGATGGGGCGGGATGGGGCGCGGGGTCCAGGACGGGCTTCCGAGCCACGGGTCTGCGCTTCTGCCTGGGGCTGCGTCCGTCCATCCGTCCGTCTGAGTCTGGGAGCACTTCACGATCTCTCTAGAAGGCGAGTCCCCCCGCGTCGGGGGTGTCACGGTGTCTGGGTGTTTCTCTAGGGTATGGCGTCCGTCTGGGGGAGGGGGTGCAGGCCCATCGGAGGACCACTGGTGTCCAGATATGAGTCAGGGCTCAGCGCGGTCAGCCTGGCCCTGAGTGTGGGTCCCAGTGCGTGCGTGCGTGTGAGTGTGATTGTGAATGTCCGTGGCCCCAGCGCTCCTATAAATAGCTTCTGTCTGGACGGCTTGGCTCAGTCTGCTGGGACGGTTACAAATGAGTCAAAGTTCTGGGCGGGTTGTGCGTGGGACAGCCTTGCTCCAAAAGGCAGCGGTCGGCCCAGCCTGGCTGGAACTGGGGCGTTGGAAGTCTGGGCTGGGTCGGCGTCTGTCCCGTGGCACAGCCCAAGTCCAGACCAGGAAGCGTCTCCCCCTTCTTACTGACATAGCCCAAGGCCCACGGTCAGCTGGGGGGAGGACTGAACCCTCATCCTGTTGTGGCTCCTCCACACTCCTCCCTCAGGCTACCCTTTGGGAGACCTTTCGCTTCTCCAAGCTTCTCTGTTTCGGTCTTTGCCCCATGGCACTGCTTAGCAGCTGGGCACACAGCCCTCTGTAGCCCTAACTTGCTGCTTCTCCCAGCCAGACCCGCAGCCCAGGGGCCACTGCCGCGGAAGGAGGGCAGCCGCCTGCGTTGACTCACAGTTGTTTCCGCAGGCCATGGGGTTTGGGCCCCCTGAGCCTTTATGGTGAGGCACAGGAGGTAAAAATAACCCCTGAGCGGCCCTGTGGGGGTGCCGGGCCAGGCTTTGGTGGGGGGTCCCACCGACTGCCACCCACTCCACTCCTGCTGTTCCCAGCCCCACCCCAGCTGCCTGGTTTCCAGGCCCAGAGTTTCCAAGAGGACATGCACAGCGCCTGTGCTTGCAGACTTGGCTTGCATTAAACCCAGTGGCGTGGCAAAGGCCCCCAGTGAACTCTGGAGGCTTGCCTGAGGCAGAGGATATGGCTGAAGGATGTCCCCACGTGACGGGAAAAGGGCTCTCGGCGGTGGCTTTCTGACAGGCTGCCTTGGGAGAACTTCCCCACAAGGCCCCCCCCCCCCATGGCACGTTCCCCTCACCCCCAAGGGGTGGACACCCTTGGACATCCACTGTCTGTATTCCAGATTGTTTTTTAAAGTGTTGTTCTTATTTCCCTCTTCCTTGGCATGTGTATTGACCGACCACAGGAGAACATCCTTATCAAAGTGCTCGCCCAGGGCCTAGACACTCACTTTTCAGAGGCCTCTGAATGGGACCCTCACCTCTGCTTATTGGAAGAAAGTGCCAGGCAGGGAAGGAAACCACCTTAAAAACCGTGTGTAGAATGTGAGCTGTGTGCTGCGAATACGGATGAAGGTTTCCAGGAGAGAGCAGGGTGAGGAAGACTTGGGGCTTGGCGTTTCCTAGAATATTTTTTTTTTTTAGATCAAAAGAGGAGGGAGAAGGGAGGGAGGGAGGACTATTGTTTTTCATTTAGTAGATCTGGGAGTTAGTTGCAGTTATATAGACCTTTGAAGACACAATGGGGCCTTCTAGAAGACTCTCTGTGTGCAGAAAGAGGTTGACCTTGTAGGCTTGGGCCTTAGTTCCTCATTTTCCGTTTCCTGAGGTCAAGGGTCATAGGATGGAAGACTGAACCGGGTTTGCTGTCTCTGCTCTCCATCTGGATGAGGCACTGTGTGGGGCCTGGCTCCTGCCCACGGGTGGCTGCTTCGTGGCTTTTGGCTGCCACGGATTGCAGACCCCGGAGCGAGGCTCGGTGAGCTTGGAGTTAGTTCATGGCCTTGCTTTGGGAGATCGGGGAGTTCATGCTGGAAAGCTTTGCCCCTGAGCACCCTAGTGCCCCATGGGCTTGTCTCCCATGGAGCCCACATTCTGCCTCCTGGAGTGAGAACCTTGAGCCCTGAGAGGCCCACTTGAGCTTGGAGCCTGGAAAACATCTTTCACAAGACGCTCCAGGATGAGGGAGGGGCGGGGGCAAGGCAGGGCTCTCATCTTTTCCTTCTCTTGACTCTGCTGGAATTCTCTGTTCCCCAAACACACAATGAAAACATAAGCTTTTGTTGTTGTTGTCCTTGTTATTGTTTAAGCCAGAATCCTGAGGACTAAATGCGTCTGGCCCAAATGGCAGCACAGCCACCAGGAGGCCTTAGCCTGGCGCTGAGATAGTCTTTTCTGGCCTCTGGTTCCACTTGGTCATGGTTCTCCTCTGGCTTTTGCTTGAATCCTGGGGCTCGAGTAGGTAGGTGCTGGTGTGTATGCTTTGTGAGTAGACTGGGGTCACCGCAGGCATTTATTTCTCCAGGGCCCCATGGCTCACCTGCCCCAGCTTACCCCAGACATGTGACTACTGTGCCTGCCCTGCCCCGGGCATTGTGGGTGGGCAGGGATGGTGGCCTGTGGGTCTGACAGCTCTGGTCTAGAACTGCACTTACCCAGTACCAGCTTCTCCAGAGGGCTTTGGGTGCCGAGGGCAGCATCTGAATTGCGAGATGACCCTGGCTCCCCCCTTCAGAAACCAGGCCCTAGCCAGGCTGCCACCTGCGCTCCAGGTTGATACCTGCCACTCAGCCTTTAGGAAGGCCGCTTGTGCCCCTGGGGGCTCCTCTGGGGTGGGAGTTTCTGCTTTAAGGAGGCTCTGGAAGCAGAGAGGCTGGTGTTTCCCACTGGGTGGAAATGTGGAGACCAGACAGTCGCTGCTTTCCCCTTGGGCCTCCGCACTGGGACCCCCAGGCCTTCCCCGCCGTCTGGGTTAGGTCTAGTGTCTGGTGCAGTGGGAGAGCTGTGTGTTGTAACTGTGGTCTTGGGTCAGGCAGTGGCTGCTGCGTCGAAGGAGGCCTGAGAGAAGCCAGCTCCAGGTGCCGTTTGACCCAGGGTCAGGGGCTGCTCTAGCCTTTGTCAAGATGCAAAAATCGCTGCTAGTTTCTATATACATATGCGTGCCACATGTCTGGGTCCACGTGCACACAGCCTCTGCCCCTTCCCTTCTGCCCTGTCAGCTACTCTTAGGTTAGAAGTGGTTAAGACATCTAGGTTTGTCAGGGGGAAGAAGTGGTGTGGGAGGTGGCATTGGAGGGAAGTGTACCTTGTCCTCTATGAGTTAGGCAGTCCTGAGACAATGGCTGTTGGGGCCGGGGTCTCCTCCCTACCTCCCATCAACCCCCACGCTGAAAGATGCACTTCAGTCCCAGACTTGGGGGGACAGGAACCCCACTTGGCCAGGCACTGAAGCTTTTATGGGAGGAGGACGCTGGTGGACGGGGCGGCCGGCCAGACAGTGGGATGCTGCTGCCCCGGGAGTGACCCCTGCCGTTGAACTTGGGAGGCGGGACGGGCCAGCTACCTGCTCCGAATTCGGGAAGGAGATCACAGCTGAGGGCTGGATGCTGCGTTCTGAAAGGTGTTGTGTAAGGCGGGCGTGTCTGGGGCACGCGGGGAGCCGTGAGGCAGGCAGGCACCAGGATTGCCCTAGGTGGGGAGAAGAAAGTTTGGGGGAAAACTCAAAGACGTTTGTCTCTGAGGTGGCCCGAAGCTGGGCTCCAAGTTTCCACCAAAGGGGCCTCCGTGGGCTGCTCCGTGAGGAATCGTGGTTCCGCCCCCAGCACTGCAGGAAAATTAATAAGAGAATAACAAGAGTAAAAGATAGGCCTGTTCTTCCGCCGCTATCCCCTGACACCACCCGGAGCTCGTGTGGCCACTATGTCCACCCCGGGGCACCCTGTGGTGCGATTTCCGTGTCAGACTCGCAGATTTCCAACCCTGGCTGGCAGTTTCTTTCTCTCACCAGTGTTGCTTGCTTCCTGTCGCAGAGAGGTTGTAGACCCCACGCACATATGGGGGTCCCACCGTGGGTCTCATCTGGCATCGTGCCCAAGGGTCAGAAGCCTGGAGCCCCTGCCCTGCTCTTGGCTGGAGGGCATGGAGTTTTGGTGCCTGCCTGGCGCACCGCAGACCTGCCTGTTAGAAGCCCCAGCGCGCATGCCCAGTCAGGGCGCCCCACAGTGTCCTGGACTGGCCAGCGGTTCCCTCAATCCCAGCTGCTCTGGTGAAGAGGCTGGGGGTGCCACCAAATTCGGGTCATGAATCCCACACCCCCTTATGTCCCGGCACCCCATCAGGTCCTATTCAGAAACATGGGGAAGCAGAAAGGCAGAAGCTTGCCAGGGGGCGAGGCCCCAGTTTGTGAAGTGAGTGTATGGGGGGCCCAGCCAGCAGCACAGGGGCCCTGCGTGGGGGGGCGGGGCCGCCTCTGGCTTGTGCAGCTGTGGCAATGTTGAGTGCAGCCGCCCCCTCCCACAGGCCCTGACCCCGCGGAGCCAGCCCCTGCCTCATCCCGGCCTGCCAGTCACTGGCAGACACATCTGTTGCCAAGAGGGGAAAATTCCCAGGATAGCTTGCCTACAGGAGCGTGGGGAGGGCTCAGTGCCCCCGGGGAAGCCTGGAAAA